AGAGACACAGCGAGAGAGGGAACACAAGCAGGGGGAGAGGGAGAGGGAGAAGCAGGCTTCTTGCTGAGCAGGGAGCCCAACACACGGGGCTCAATCCTAGGACCCTGGGATCACAACCCAAGCCAAAGGCAGATGCTTAACGACTGAGCCACCCAGGTGCCCCAGGGATAGTAATAATATTTTAAAGGACATTTGTGACAAGCCTGGAAGGGCTCCAAGGTGTAAGGGTTTTCCCTCCATTCATGAAGGAGGCACTGGAGACCTATTCTGAGTAAACCACACTAAGCAAAACCTTTAAGGAGAGGAAAAGAAGAATGAACTAATTCTTCAGTTAATTTACTTTACAAACCCGTCAGTATGGACCCTGTATGTCTGGACCATAGCATGTGCCATGATTCGGCAGTTGCCCGGGCTTCTCTGAGGTTCTAAGAGGCGAACTGCCACAGAACCATTTGGACTCTGGAAAGACAAATATTGCTCATGGTCATGAGAGGACTGGTATTAAAAAAATAAAAAGTCATTAGATCAGCACAGATCTTCCTAAGGTTAAGTATAACACTTCATATAGTTTGAGCCACAAATACAAAAATCGCCCATGGCTCACTTTTTATTTCTTATGCATTCCCTTTCAGTCATATGGGTGAATATTCACATTGCTTAATCAGGATATATGTGCAATTTTATAATTTTGTTTTTGCAATTAAAATGATCTTTAAATTACTTTTCTATGATGCACATGAGTCATCATAATTGTTATTTTAGTGACTGCATAATATTCCATTCAGTAATCCTACCATGTTTTGCTTAAATTTGTCATTAGTCAAGTTATTAAACAAGATGCTCCTTCGACTTTACTGAAAATAATTGTGAACGCTTAGAGTTTTCACAATAAAATCTCCTGTTTACCTATAAAGCCACTTTCAAAGGATCCCTTAGTGAGACAATGTATGCTAATGCAGTTATAGGCTTTCAATCACCAAAGATGCTTTCCAAGTATCTTTGGTATGAAGGAATTATGCAAAACTGGTACATACTGTGGGCTCTGTTAACCCAGAAATTAAAAAGAACTCTGTTGGCAGCACTGCCCCTTCTTGTAATAGGTCAGGAGTGTAGACACTATTTCTATTGGTACCTGGCTGCTAAAGTTCCCAGTTTTAAAAAAACGATCTTGTCCCTAAGAGCCTGAGGACTAAGTTGTATACTGCCCCTCCAAACTATGGCTGCCATCCCTACTTCTTAGGGAGGTAATGGAGCATGGGTCAATTTAATTTTTTAGGTCTTTGGGGAAAGGTTACAAATAAGGAAACAGACATTTTATCCTAGACAAAAGTAGCTACCACTTCTGCTGTCGGTAGCTGTTTTAAATAACATTAGGTCCTTTTTGAAGTTTGAGTCTGTATGAAATTTATTTCCTGCTTGTTATTTTTGCTCTCCTTTGATGACCCAATAAAATGAGTTGTGTATTTATATGACCTTGGGTAATGATGACTTCAACTTCTTTGATTTGTAGTTTTTCCATTTTCTACCTAGGAATGATTACATCTGGCTTACCTGTCTCATGAGGTTGCTATGAGACCCAAATGACGTGTAAACTGTAAAAACTTCTGACAAGTGCAAGGTGGATGCTATTATTAATCATCGGTAATGGTGATGAGTGGAAAATCCCCAGATAGCATCAGCAGACGGTGCTACACTCTGTGGGTGTGTCAGAGGAGGATATGATAAAGTGCAGCCAGTTAAACCCAGTGATTTGTTCTTGAATGTGGACCTGACCAAGTCCTTCCACTGTGTGCCTTACTTGTAGAAAGTGTGCTCCCATGCAAGTGGGTAAGACTAGGCAAGGTGTTTTGGGCTCACAAGACAAAGGTCATCCATAGACTCAGTCAGGAAGAATCTCCTTGATGTTTTTGTGTGCGGCAGTGACGAATTATAACAAGACCTCTGCATAAACAGTCACTTCTGGGGGTAAGAGAAAGTGTCATCAAAAATGAAGGACAAGTCTGTGGCGAGAGGAGCATCTTCCCTATTTATTTCAAAACTCAAGCTTGCTTTAAATTGTGCCCAGCTTGTGTGGTCAAGTTTTGCCTGCAGGGAGTAAGCCCCACGACTGCCCACAATGACAGTGGGAGGCATGTGACCCAGTTTCTGTGGTCTGAGCTGGAAGACAATCCGAGTGTGCACACTACCGCGTCTGCCTGCAAACACTACAGAGTGAACTCCTAAAATTCACATTTTCAAGAGGAAATTAGATTGTTTTCATTTGTTTTCCTTCGGTTTTGAGGTGTGATTATTTTTTTTTCCTGCTGAGGTCATTTCAGTGCTATCTCCACAAATGGTCATTAGGATATTGGGAGACAGTTCTGCACTCGCGGTCTTAGAATATGAATCTCCCAGGACGCCTAGGTGGCTCAGTAGGTTAAGCGTCTGCCTTCGGCTCAGATCATGATCTAAGGGTCCTGGGATCGAGTCCCGCATGGGGCTCCCTGTTCAGCGGGGAGCCTGCTTCTCCCTCTGCCTTCCGCTCCCCCTGCTTGTGCTCTCTCTCTGTCTCTGACAAATAAATCTAAAAAAAAAAAAAGAATATGAATCTCCCCCATATAAAGACAGAGAGAAAATAATATTTTCTCTGGGCAGAGAGGAAATAATTGATTGCCTTGTTGTTCTCCTGGCCTCACTCTGCCCAGGTATCTAAGGCACAGAGAGTGACTGATGAACTCTTTCGGCCCATGGAAAGCATGTTCAATGAACACAGCTTCGGGACAACAGAGTATCTTCATGGTATTCAGAAAGAAGCAAATATTCTCCCCTCCCTTATCAGGATTTTGATGACACCATCCTTACTTTTTGGAAGAGATAGGAGTGGGGGTCATCTTTACTTTTTTGAAAAGCTTTGAATATTTTTTAAGGCTTTGAAAAAAACTTAAAGGAAATAGGATCATTTATGCTAAAGAAAAGAAGACTGCCACACAGAAGATATAGTCCATATATCCACTGAGTACCAAAAAAGAAAATGAGATTCAACCGGGGTCACAACTGAAGATTTATGTCCAGACAATGATGATTGTTTCTGAAGCAAGTGGGGGTTGCCCTCAGTGGATAGAGTTCTAATTGTTTGAAATGATGTCCATATGAACCTGCCTAAAGCATTTCCTTATTCACATACCCTTTGGTAGAGCTTCATCATAGTACTATTTTTATGCATCACTTTAAGTACAAGGGTTCATTTGTGTTAAGTGGGTGAGGAGTTGGTAGAGAGGACTTTTCCTGACCTGATAAGGAAAGAAGTTCATCGAGACCCTAGGCATTCAAGAGTTATGGTCTTCTACTGTATCTCTTTCTTCTATGCAATTTGTTTCTTTCTCAAAATCTAGCCTGTAAACTCCTTGCAACAGAATTATCTGAACGGCTTTTTAAATGCAGATTCCTGGGCCCAGCCCCAGACCTGCTGAATTGGAATCTCTGGGGCAAGATCAAGAATTGCATTTTTAACAAACATGTAGGTGATTCTGATGTTTGAGAATCACTTCCCTTATGTTGGGTAGAGGAATGGTTCTCAAGGTGTGCCCCTGGACCTAGAGCATCAGCATCGCCTGGGGGCTTATTAGAAATGCAAATTCTTAGACCTCACCCTGTACCTTACTGAATCTGAAAATTCTGGGGGCTGAAGCTCAGCAATCTGTTTTAGCAAACCCTCCAGGTGATTCTGATTTTCACCAAAGTCTGAGAAGCACTGGAGTAAGTAGGTCAATTTCCTTCAGTACCTCTTTACAAGAGTAAGAAAGAGACTCATTAAGAGAGAATCTGATTCATTTGCAACACTTGGGTTTTATCTGCAACCAAGAAATCTTGGTTGAGATAGAACCTTAAAAGGAGATTTAATCTAGGGGCACCTGGGTTGGTGCAGTTGGTTAAGTGTCTGGTTCTTGGTTTTGGCTCATGTCGTGATCTCAGGGTCTTAAAAACAAGACCCACCTCAGGCTTCACCTGAGTGCTTGGCATGGAGTCTGCTTAAGACTGTCTCTCCCTCTCTCACTGCCCCTACTACCCCCCGCCCGCCAAGCATGGGTTTGGGCACGCTCTCTCTCTCTGAAATAAATAAATCTTTATTTTAAAGGAAATTTAATCTAGTGCCCCACCCCCGTAGTGTTTAAATCCCTTCCCTCCCTCAATCCCTCTTTAAAAAAAAAAAGATTTTATTTATTTATTTGACAGAAAGAGAGACAGCGGGAGAGGGAACACAAGCAGGGGGAGTGGGAGAGGGAGAAGCAGGCTTCCCGCGGAGCGGGGAGCCCGATGCGGGGCTCGATCCCAGGACCCTGGGATCATGACCTGAGCCAAAGGCAGACGCTTAACGACTGAGCCACCCAGGCACCCCTCCCTCGATCCCTCTGTCTCCCTCACTCTCTCCTTCTCCTCCTTCCCCCACCCACCTCTCTCTCTCTCTCTCTTTCTTATGTGCCAGGCACTCAGGTAGGGATTGAGGATACGGTAGTGAACACAAACTATAGTTCCCTGTCCTCTTGGAACTTACACTCTTGGGGAAAGGCATATTTCAAATGATTACACTAGTAACTCTGAAATTATAATTCTTATAAGTGCTATGGTGAGGAGGCACATGATGTCATGAGAGCGCATAATAGAGGCATTGGAGCAAATCTGTACACCTCCTATAAGGCAACTCAGCCCAGACAGAGCACTTCCTCTTGAGGAACTAGAAGTGTGTGATGGTAATTTCCTAGGAGCGGATCTCGGAGTCCATCTGTGACTGTCCTTGTCCTGTCCCACATTCCCATGGCCCCCCCTCACTGGTTTCGTGCACAACTGTATCGCGTCACTGACGTTCACCGGGCTCACCGTTAAGTGAAACCCTGGGGTTATCCATCTTGCCTTTTTTAAATAATTGAAAATGTGTTAAGGGCAGGACCTTAGAGATTTTCCTCTGGATGTCAGCCTTTTAGCCAGCATCCATCACAGAGTTTGTTTATTCAGTTATGTTTATTTGCATTATCAACCAATCTAAATTTCTTCCGTGTGTCAGTCAAAAGCATGTAAAACTTTAATAATTGCCTTGCTAAAATCTAGATACAGGATGTCTCCCACAGCCTTCTAATCTGCCAATCTAGTATGTCTGCGTGAAGGAAATGGGTTAGTCTGTCTTCACTTGTTCTAGTAATCACCACTTCCTTTTGTCTGTTGACAAACAGTCTTTTAATATTTATTGACAAGTCAAGAATTCATGAGATGCACTAGTTTTAGTCAAATGAGGCATGCAGCCCTTTTCTACGTGGTTAAAAATTTCTATCAAAACAGTATCTTCACTAGAACACCTTTCTTTCATCCATTTGAGAAGTCCTTCATATCCTCTGAGTGAGTCTCACATCTTCATATTTTCACCTAGAGCAACACCATTGTAACTCATCCTCAGGTCTCTGGATCTCCATGGACTGCACTTTTTTTCTTGGCTTATTCTTCTTCTCTTCTTGGTAGGTCTGTATCCACTAACACAAATAAGATTTAGTCAGTAGATGAATATTTTAGTCTAGAAGTTTACAAAATACAATTCAGGGACTTCTAAGTAATCCTGGGGCTAGTGCTCATAAGAGTTATCATTTATAATATGGCAATAAATATTTGCTTAAGTTGGTTATGAATAATTTTTTTTCAAAGATTTTATCTACTTATTTGACAGAGAGAGAGAGAGATCACAAGCAGGCAGAGCAGCAGGCAGAGGGAGAGAGAGAAGCAGGCTCCCTGCTGAGCAGAGAGCCCAAAGCAGGAGTTGATCCCAGGACCCTAGGATCATGATCTGAGTCGAAGGCGGATGCCTACCTGACTGAGCCACCCAGGCGCCCTAAATAAATTTTTTAAACAAAATCAAAACTTTTATTACCATTTCATGAAAATGGACTCCATTCATTTTTAATTCCAGTGAGGAGTTTTCTTTTGTTTTTAATGATGTCACATTCTGTCTGGCCCTGAGTCTGCTCACTTGTTAAATGAGTGGTTTGGACTAGATAATTCTTTTTTTTTTTTAATTTTATTTATTTGAGAGAGAGAGAACGAGCATGCATGGGGGGAAAGACAGAGAGAGGGAGAAGCAGACTCCCCACTGAGCAGGCAGCCTTACACAGGGTTCGATCCCAGAACCCTGAGATCATGACCTGAGCCAAACCAACTGAGCCACCCGATCCCAGGGTCCTGGGATCGAGTCCCATATCGGGCTCCCTGCTTGGCGGGGAGCCTGCTTCTCCCTCTCCCGCTGCCCCTGCTTGTGTTCTCTCTCTTGCTGTCTCTCTCTCTGTCAAATAAGTTAATAAAATCTTTAAAAAAAATTAAAAAAAAATAAACCACGACACATACACACACACACACACACACACGTGCAAACATACACACATGAACATGTGCATACATGTCAGACTGGTCAGATGATTAACCGACTGCACCACCCAGGCGCCCCATCTCTCTATTATTTCTTTTTTTTTAATTTTTTTATTAACATGTACTGTATTATTTGTTTCAGGGCTACAGGTCTGTGATTCATCAGTCTTACACAATTCACAGCACTCACCATAGCACGTACCCTCCCCAGCATCCATCACCCAGCCACCCCATCCCTCCTCCATTATTTCTTATAAGAACATGTGAACCTACAATTACCTCAAAATAAAAAGTTTTTAAAATATTAAACCATGGAGTGTTATAACAGGACTTTGGAAGTAAGTAGGCTGACTTGACCACCTATTAGCTTAAACAAATTGTTTAGCCTTTCTGAAGTCAGTTTCTTTGTCAGCCTTAAAGTGGGAATACTAATTCCTACCTAATGGGATTACTGGAAGGATTATGTGAGATAGTGTGTGTAAACATCTTACGTGGTTCATGCTTACACTGACGTATTCAACAAACGTTGGTTACTTTCATGCTGCTTCTCCTTTGTTGTAGAGAAGAAACTAGGGCAGACAGCCTTGTTGCAGCTCTCCCAGGAAAATTGACCTATGACCTGAAGCCGAAGACAATTTAGAAGTATACATTAGTGAGATGAGCCCCATAGCAGTGTAGTGAGTAATGCTGTTACATAACTTTTGCAAATCACCAGGCGGATCAGCTAACATGGCTTGGCGCAGTGAACCGATAAAATAACAACACAGCTTCCAAACCCAGCCTGAGTCAGGGGGTCCCAACACAGCAGCCAGAGTGAAAATCCAGAATGACTGCATAGGCCTCGGAGCTTTGGCATTTCAGTTGACTCAGACATGCTGTAAATCTGTGCAAGTAGAAAAAAACAAAAGCTGGCCCCCTGGCTAACTGTTCCCCCAAGGGGCCCAGAGAAACTTTCTTTTCCTTGCAGAATCCTTAATCATGTCTCCCAACTATGAGTTTTCCATGCAACTGCACAGATGAGAAATAGGGAGAGACTAAGGTCCTGAGAATGTGATTGTCAAATGAATGGCCAAGATGTGTCTCCCATGTCTTCTAAAATGTTTAGAATTTCCCAGGGATCTGTCCTTGCCCCCAATCTGATGAATGTTTCAATCCGTGAGTTGGATAGAAACAACAGAAGGAAAGCCCACCAAATTTTTTAATGATACAGAGGTGAAAGGGAGTTCGGAAACAGAATTATAATTTTAAAATGATTTTGGCCAGCTCTGGGGCACTGAGTTGATCACAGTAACTTGTAATTTATTAGGGGTAGCGTTAAAACCTGTACTTCAAAATCAAAAGCATAAGTACAGGTTAGGAAAGGATTAAATTGACAAGGGTTTTATATGAAAAGTTGGAGGGATTTTATTTGCTTATAAGAAAAGTATGAGTCAATGGTGTAATGTGTTTGTGTTAAAAAAAAAAAAGAAAAAGAAGTTAGGGACCAGAAAAAGGAAAGTAATCTTTTTACTTTACATAATTTGTGCAAGTATAAAATACTCAGTGGGTTGGATTCAGTGTAGGGGCCAAATTTGAGAAAGATATTGATTAAATGGAGTTGGTTACTAAGGGAAGGAATGAAAAAAGAGGGCTAAATTTAAAAGATCCCCAAAACTATATTGTTTAAAGAATTGTTGAAGGAAAACAAGGATATTCAGCTATTTTTTTAGAGTTACCATATAGAAGTGGAGTAAACTTGTCTATTTTGCTCTGAAAAGCAGAAATGAGATTAATGAGAGTTCATGGAAACAGATTTTTGGCTCAATAAAAGGAAAAGTTTTCAAATAATTAGAGCAGTTCCGTGACTACTTCATAAATTGTGAGCTTTCTGTCACTGGAAATAATCAAGCTAAGGCCAGATGAGCGTCTGGGATTCTGAAGGCTTCCAGCATGGAGTGAGAGCTCAGGGTAGGTGACCTTTAAGACCACTTTCAGCTCCCATAGTCTATGATTTAAGTAAGCAAGAATGCCAAGGCCACTCCTGACATGCCAGAGCTACTTTTTCAGCTCTTGGCTCTGATTCTGACCAGCTGTGTGACCTTCGGCCAAGAAATTAACCATTTTTTTCTTTCCGTTTCTTATCCACCAAATGAGGGATCTGTATTTAATGAAAGTTCTCTCCAGCACATCTGTCTCCTTGAGCATCCTCATAATGATAACATGTTGGGAAAGTACAGTTGGAGCTGAGAACCTGCCATTTTTCTAAGTCGACCTACAAGGAGAAGGCTTAACAACCAAAAGCCTTTGTTGATTCTGGGGACTACTGGACTAAACTCTCAGCTGCTTGTTGGCAGGAGAGCGAGTGATTGTGATCCTGGAATTTGTTCTCATGAGATCTATGGCAGGAAGTTGATCAAATAACTGATAATCCGGTTTTTCTCAAACACCTGTACATTCTGGCTGAGTTCAACAAAGCCTCTACAAACAACTTAGAAGAAATGAAGGTCATATTACCATTGCAATACAGTTCTATCTTTTACAAAGCAAACCTTTGTTCTTTATTTCCGTAACGATTTGGCAGATGCTGTTGAGCTTGGCTTACAATCATAAAAATTAATATCCATAAAGTGAATTTAATATGGCAGATACTGTTCTAAAAGGTTTTTAGAAGTTAATTTATTTAACCAGTTTATAACCTGAAAAAATCTAATGATGAATCAGTAAATTAGATCCTTTTTTCCCTGTGGAAAAGGAATAGTTAAAATCCAGTTTAAATCCATCTTAATGATAGGGAGTCAAGAATTCAGATCCCTGCCCTCATTCTTTTAGGCTTTCTTGCTGATGTTCAATTGCTATAATTTCCTGTGTGGTTCATCTGATTACTAACCCTTTTCTTTTCTGCCTAGATTAGGTGCCTCATCCACCACTACTACATTCCAGCTCTTCTTTCTCCTCTTGGACTTCTCTCTGACTCCCACATCATTGTCTCCAAATCCCATTTCTTCTGTTTTGTTTTGTTTTTTTTCAAAGATTTTTGGAAACACACATAGGGGGGCTGCCATAGTTTGCTTTGATATAATTATGGAAGGTATGAGTAGGATCTCACATACCTCCTCCAGTTACTGAGGTTAGTGGGGGAAGAAATAAGTAAATTTATGCTTTTTGTAAGGACATGAAGAATTTAAAACCTTATTCCCAGGCTCTCGGGTCTGGCAGTTCTCACTCCATCCAAGTACCACATTTTCTTCCATCTCTTTGTTTCCTTAGGTTGGAAATGAAAACAGCTGTTAAAAATAAGAGCACATGAGTCAATTTTGAATCTCAATGTATAATTACAGTTTCCATCTTTGTTGGTAAAGTCCCTCCCAGTGTACTGAGCCCCGTATCACAGCTCCCTTGCTGTCAATTTTATACCAAGACTTTAATTTGTGTTTTCCAAACCTCTAAGATTAAACACTAAATCATTTGCCAAGCCAGAAAAAATAACAAGGAAGAAAATACTTCAATTTAAAAACTTGATTCTCAGACATGCTCTTTTTCTGATTTAGATCTTGAACAGATCTCTGTGTCAATATTAGAAATGTCAGTTATGGTTCCACATTTTTGAAGGTGGAGATTCAGGGCTTTGTGGTATCCTCACTGTGAAGAATGTTGCTTGAACTCTATAGAGGCTCTGCCTTGAAAGGTATTGTATTTTCTTTTCCAGGTTCCTGAGGCTTATGACCTCCTAAACCAATCTTAAAGAGTCATCTAGAGCCTATTGATTGTCACCTTCTGGAGCAGATTGATCCTTTTTCAGTTCTGCCCAGTCCCCCTTATCAACCACTCATTCCTTGACAGAGTAATCCCATTGTCTAAAGCTCTGAAGGTCTCCAGTGAATCAGCGGCCTTCAACTGGCTAATCTAATTTGCCCTATAAATACAGATCATATGCTATTAGCAAGAGAACTTGTGTCCTATAGGGGGAGAAGCAGGAGACAAGAGACTTGGTGCTTTCAATCCCTTCATTTAGCCTTATTTCCCCTTTCTAAGATTTGATTTCTTTATTGTTAGATTAGATTATTTCTATGATTCATTTCCCTGAAAAGATTATTATAATTCTATAACCATTGTATCTTCCAAGAGCCAGCTTTGTGCATTGAAAATTGCCTTGGTCAGGGACGCCTGGGTGGCTCAGTCGGTTAAGCATCTGCCTTCGGCTCAGGTCATGATCCCAGGGTCCTGGGATCGAGTCCCACATCAGGCTCCCTGCTCAGCGGGAAACCTGCTTCTCCCTCTCCTACTCCCCCTGCTTGTGCTCGCTTGCTCTCTCTCTCTCACAAATAAATAAATAAAATCTAAAAAAAAAAAAATTGCCTTGGTCAGTTTAGGCTGCTGTAACAAAAATATCACAGTCTTGGAAGTTTAAGATCAAAGCACTGGCAGGTCCAGTGTCTGGTGAGAGAGATAGAAGTGGGGGGAAGAGCTCTCTTCTTATGAGGGCACTAATCCCATCATGATAAGGGCAGTAATCCTATAATACCTCCCTGACCTGATTACCTCCCAAAGGCTCTATCTCCAAATATTATCATACTGGGGATTAGTATGTATTATCATACATGTGAATTCTGGGGACACAGATAAATTCAGTTCATAGCAGAAATGAAGACATTTGTATGCATGGTGTGATTTGTGGAATTTTGGGAAGGTTATTGAGCCCTTGCTCCCCCATCCACACTTAAAATCCTGCCATTAAATATTTCCTCTCAGACATAACACCTTTTAAAATCTATTATGTTTGGCTATGGAAAGAGCTCAGATGTCCTTCAACAGATGAATGGATAAAGATGTGGTATATATATACAACGGAATATTACTGAGCCATCAAAAAAAAAGAAATCTTACCATTTGCAAAGATATGGCTTGAACTACAGGGTATTATGCTAAGCTAAATAAGTCAATCAGAGAAAGAATTATACAATTTCACTCATGTGGAAATTAAGAAACAAAACAGAGGATCATAAGGGAAGGAAGGGAAAAATAAAATAAGATTAAATCAGAGAGGGAGACACACTAAGAGACTATAGGAAACAATCTGAGGGTTGCTGGAGGGAAGGGGAGTGGGGGGATGGGGTCACTGGGTGATGGGCATTAAGGAGGGCACATGATGCGATGAGCCCTGAGTGTTATATAAGACTGATAAATCCCTGAACTCTACCTCTGAAACTAATAACACACTATATGTTAATTAATTATTTTAAATAAAATAAAATAATAAAATCTATTTTTTTGGAAGGGCAAACCCGGAAAACTAATATGTGAGGTAGTGTAGCGTGGTGCTGGTATAATGTAGTGTCGTCTGACTGGAATCAGGCTGCCTGAGTTCACACACTTACTAGCTGTATGGCCTTAGGCAATTAATTAATCTCTCTGGGCTTCTGGAGCATCTGTATAATCAAGATGATAACACCTCAAAGGTTCTTGTGAGGTTTCAATGAAATATGTAACATGCTTAGAAGAACAGTATCTTGCTATATAGTTGTTAGCCATTGTCATCCTTTGTTTGCATAAATCAGCATATTATATTGATGTCCTTTTGACAGAAAGTTGTTATCAAGCCACAAAGAAATCAGAGTTTTGTTCAGGGAACGGGGAGGGGATTCTGTGGCTACACAAAGCCCTGTGAAGAAATGGTCTGCCGTAGTGAGGTGCTACGGTTGGAGGCATAAAGTCACTAGGTGCCTCCATGCCCCAGGGAAGCATTTATAAGAAAGATAAAGGGGGGTTCATCTGCTTGTCGTCCTAGCCAGGCTGCCCAGGAACGGATAGAATGAATCTGCTGCTATGGGGAGCAAGGAGTATAATTCACATCTGCACATGAACTTTGAATTTGGCACCTGCTTAATTTTTCTGTGTCTCATAATTCTCTCCCTTGTAACATTCAGGTAATAGTAGGTCCCCTGAAGAGCCATGGTCAAATGTAGAAGTATTCTTCTCTGCTAAATGCCCTTGCCTCTTTCTCTTAGATTACATGAAGCAGACGACATTCGAAGCCCAAGCGTTTCTAGAAGCTGTACAGTTCTTCCGGCAGGAGAAGGGACACTATGGCTCATGGGAAATGATCACGGGGGATGAAGTCCAGGTAACACAGGCTCAGAATTCTGGACCCTCTTCTCTGTCTACATGCAGGGGGTCAGAGTCATAATTTTAAAAATTTTTTAAAAATCAAACAAAAAAGTTGCAAGAACGGAAGATGTAGTGCCAAAGGCTGTTTCTCTCATCGTCTAGAAGCATTAGGTCCACAAGCTATTAGGCACCCTCTCCAAAAACCTCCAGACTGGGCAGTAAACAGGGCAGCTTGAAACGTGTAAATGGCAATGGGGAGAGCTGCTTCTACTGCTTTCTACACAAAGCATGATTCTTTCAACTGGCCTTGTGCTTCCAGACTATAAGCAAACGTGTGGTGGGGGCTTAGGTCAGTGGACTTGGGCTAAATCTTGCCAAGTTATTGGACCTCTTTTTGTCTCAGGTTAGTCCTCTGAGAAAGAAAGTAATGATAATGTTTACCTTGCAGGGTTCTGAGCATTAAGTGAGATGTTGTTGGAAAACTATTCGGCATGCGCTTGTCTTTATGTATTGAATGATCTGTAAACGAAGTCAAGGAAACACATTTTAAAAGCATTAGACAGTTTTCCGTGCATTTTATTTACCTCTTCTAGTTTTCTATCCCCCGTGGCCTGATATAATTTCCCATGACCTTGATTAAATGCTAGTCATGGGCTGAGTACCTCCATTGGCTTGGTACCAGGGACATTGTTACAAATCTCCAAGGAAACTGTGTCCATGAGAACACCAATCACATGGCTGATTCAGCCAGGAAGGTTGGGTATGGCATTATTTAATTAGAGGCACATAGGGTCCAACAATGCTGTTCTTTAATTTCCCCTCATCTCCCTGAGTGCCTCTTTTGGGGGCCAGTGGAATTTGTTATTAGGAGACAGTATTTGGAAGAGACCAGACGGGGCCTTGCCTTCATATGGTCATGAAATATCTAACGCCGAAAACATTTGCTCATGATGATGGGGCTATTCTTCATTGTTTAACCATATGACTCAGAAGCTTCTTTTTTCCCTCCCTTTGGAGGATTCTAAACTCATTTATTTCCTAGCCTGAGACTTATTCCAGCACTTTAGCCAATTCTTGGTTTCTGATATTTGGGGGAAGCACATTCATTTATCAGTCTGAGAGGATTAAGGACTAACTGTACTTATGCCAAAAAGAAAAATGAAAGCAAAAGGGGAGGCTGAAGCCTGCCATGTAAACCAACATATTTAGTAGATATACCAGTATTAAAATGCCTTTGTGTAATGCTTTTTAATGTTCAAATCCTAATTCTGTGTGTTCATCTTACTGATCTCATGAGGTTGCTAGTATTTCCATTTTGTAAATGAGAAAACCGAGGGAGGCATATAACAGTTAAGTGACTTGTCTGGTTTTAGTGCCTCAACAACTATTGAGCCACTGTATGCCAGGCACCATGGTGGGTGCTGGTGACCCAGAGGATGGGCGGGACAGGGCGGCCCCTGCCCCGTGCAGCTGATAGCTTCATGGTCACATGCTAAGTGGACAAACGGCAAAGGAAATGATGGCTTAGAAATGACCAATTCCTGGTCCCGTGAAAGATCAACACCAACAATGGAACACTACCAAGTTCAACATTTATTTAACTCCTCAAGTTTACCTATGCTACTTGCTTGATCTTTTCTTTCATTTGAAATCTCACGGCGGCTCACATGTCTTCATGATGCCCCATCGAAAGCAGGTACTTAATGAATCCTTTCTTTGCATTGAGTATCATGTTTCTTTTGTTGACCTTCTGCCTTTTGCTTTGCGTTGATAATGTGCGAAGCGCTAGATGGAGGAAGAGAACTAAATGACTCATCCTCTGCCATCGCAGTGAGGCAAGTCATACCTAGATGTAGAACAAGGCAGTGTTAGAAGTGTGTGTGGGTAAGCATATGTGGGTCTGCACATATATGGACATCATAAAGCATTAGCACGAAGCAGTGATAGGAAGGTGCGAATTTTGCAGTATAAAAAAATACCATAAATGGGAAAGGAGAACTAAACAAAACAAAAGCAGATAAGAGATCAGTAAAAGCTGGAGTTATCAAGTGACCCAGTAAGAAGTTTTGCTCCCTCAGGAATCTGAGTATCTGTGGGGAAGGCAGACTCCTAAAATGTGAGCGCTGGAAGGGCATTTCAAGGATTATCTGTCCATCACCCTCCAGGTGAGAAAAAGAACATGCAGAGAGGTTGGCTGAGGTCACAGAGCCAGTCTGGGATGGAAACGCATTTTAAGCCATGTCTGGCTCTGCCTGGAGAAGCCAGTGAAAGAAAATGGAAGGAAGTGGGCTCCAAAACCCCCCTGTCTGGGGCCCAGGGAGGGTACGTTTCCCTGTAACCTCACGCATGGAGCTGAAGCGGTGTCTCTCTTAACGCTCACAGGAAAAAGAGATCAGGGGCCCAAAAAAGCTACCGAGTAATTAAAAAAAAAAATGGCATGACATAACTGAGTTTAAGAATATGACATCTTTTGCTTAAAGCACTGCATTTGTTTGCACTTTTTTCAGATCTACTATAAATTTGATCATTTTGTCCTAACCCCCTCTACCTCAGGGCCTGATATTCAGAAGATGCTCAGCATTGTTACATTATTATCTTCATAGTAATGACTCACATAGCAAGTCTGGTGGGCCCTCATGGTAGGGGTTATTTTTCAGGCAAGTGTCCAGGCAGAGCAAATATCTTAGGATAACTTGCCTACAGACGATTAAAGTGAAAATATTTGTATACTAGTAAAAACTTAAATATAGTTCCTACTCGGCTATAAAAATCTAACAGATGAGGTCATGAAGGAAAGCAGTTTGCAAAATGTAAAGTATTTACAGTTATTTGGTATATTTATTATTTATCATAGTAACACTTATGTAATATATATTTATTATCTTATAAGTGTTACTATAAATTTAAATTTGCCTTTAAATTAATCAGCTGAGCTGAGAAAGTAGCTCATAATTCCCACAGAACAGGTAGTTTCAAGACAAGAAAACTATCCACATTTTAGGCCTTCTCCATACATTTCAGAGTTGTCTTTTGTCTAATGACCTTGAATGTGACCCCTTTAAATTATTCTTTCACCCATGGCCACACAGTAACATAAAAGGCACAAGGCCGACAGCCCGGTCAGTCCATCGGGCCAGTCTCAGGAAGAAGAGCAGTCTCTCTGGACCTCACATCTTCCCCACAGCATCAGCATCTGGAAGGTAACACATGGTGTGGCCTTCAGGGAGTGAGCCTGAGTTTGTTGATTTTGACCAACCTAATGGCATGTTTGGTTTCTTATATGTGTGATGGAATTTTAAAATCTACACATCCCAGCAGTTAAATTTACACACACACACACACACACACACACACACACACACCCCATTTTTTTTTTTTTTAAACAAAAGTGGTATTTTTAGGGCCCTAAAAATACTTGATAGATTTGTTCTGGGGGAGAAGGTTGAGCAACCCCTTCATTAGTATGGCTTACTTATTTGACTAGCTACTTTCCCTAGAATAGCCCCAGGGCTTTGGACCCTGCTCATGAAGAGCAGCTGACCCAGGTAGGGAATCTCAGAGCAGACCCTGGGCGGGTGAGGGGGCTGCACAAGGATGGGGGGTGGGCTGAAGGGTGGAGGAAGAGGGTTACTCAGCATTGGGATGGACACAGTTGGGCCTCAGCACTTCGAGGCTCTGCCTGTCCTGTGGTGTTGCCAAGCCCCACACCCTTGCAAGCCACTCCTATTCCCCCTTTTTTTTTTCCCAGACATATTTCCTTTTCAATTCCCTAAATTATAAAATAGAACTCAATTTCTTGGAACATTATGGGAAAGACTAAAAGAAAACTATAAGCCCACCCAAATGGAATATTTTTTTCCTTTGGCCTTTGTAACATTTTCATCTTTTCAAACCCATTTCATGCTTATGTTCAGACTCAAACTAATATCTGCAAAAAGATGAATTAGGCAATTATTATGACCCTGATTTTAACACTATCAACTAAGATAACATTTCCCATTGATTTTAAGCTCTGCCTTCAGGCTCCTTATTTTCCTAGCTCATTCTCCCCATGCCACACTTCCATCAGTCTCAGGGAAATGTGTTCCAACTAAGGACTTACTCCACCAAGCAGGATGGGGGGAGGGTCCATGGATTATTAATTACCTACTTGAATCTAATTGTTGGACCTGCTAATCTCCATGGAGCTTGCATATATCATGTTCCTCTCAAATTCCCCAGAAATTCTGGTTCACCTCTTGACTGCTCCCAGAGAATGGTTAAGAAAGAAAAACATCCCCACCAATGAATTACCAGGACTTGAGGAAATCCTATCCCCATTATAATCTTCATCACACCATAAAGTTCTACATCGCAGGTGACAGGAGCCCCACTCCCTGCACTGACCTGAGCAGCCTGCTCTCCCAAGGACCCATAGGCACAGGGGAATTGGACGGCTCACCCACCTCTACCCTGGGAGTGTTCCTGGACTGTTCAGCTGAAGTTTCCCACCCTGCTGTAACAGAGCCCTTGGTGAAAGGCAAAATCTCGTGAGCTCATGAGTATTTGCACTAGCATGAGACTGACCAATGACCTCAGGAAAAAATCTTCCGTAATTCCCAAAGCCTAATTTGAATTTTTATGAGAAGGAGGTCAATTATTTTGCACAGTTACCATTTTAAATTCATAGAACAAATGTCAAATGATTCTCCATTCCCAAAATTACTCTTTTTCTTTTGTAAATCTTGTTTTGCAGCCTGATACTGAAAACTAAGCTGTGAGCCCCAAAAGATTCATAGTAAAACTGAATCTGAAAAACAAATCTGCTCCAATTTGGGGGGAGGTGGCCAGTTAAGGAAGGAGAAGTTGATGTTACATGGAGCACTGTAATATGTGGACATGGAGAACATGCTCAGATTAAAAAAAAAAAAAAATTCAATGAGCCAAGCAAAATCTCAGGAGTGACTTGGGAGCAAATTTTTTTTTTTTAAACATTCTGAAGACTTTAGATCCCCTCGCCCGTGTTCTGCTCATCCCACAAACGTCCAGTTGTTCTAAGTATTTGTTACTCCCCTCTTTCTCTAAACTTTAAAGATAATGGAGGTGGGGTTCAGGAGACGGCAGGGACAAAGAGCATGAAGACACATAGATCCCAGGGAGCTTGAGGAGGCATGATGGTCTCAGAGGACACAGAAAAGGACTCAAGCCACCAAAACCAAGCCTGATGCCTGTCACGAGGTTGCTGAGGATGCCCTTATCCATAATTAAACTTTTTTTTTAAAGATTTTATTTATTTATTTGAGAGAGAGAGAATGAGAGATAGCACGAGAGGGAAGAGGGTCAGAGGGAGAAGCAGACTCCCCGCCGAGCAGGGAGCCTGATGCGGGGCTCGATCCCGGGACTCCAGGATCATGACCCGAGCCGAAGGCAGTCGCTCAACCAACTGAGCCACCCAGGCGTAAACTTTCGCCTTTTATCCTAAATGCACTAGATTCTTCTAGTTTGAAGAAATGTGAATTTGAGGAATTTGTCCTTTCTGATGGCAAACCGTCAGCAAACATTACTATTCTTTGCGAATATTTAAGAACGTTTACCCTCCAAGATTGTCTTTAGTTGAGATTTCTGTAGCCTTAGAACCAGAGTGAAACTATCAGCCTAACAGATTTTATGTAGTCCGGGACAATCTTATGTTGCCAGGATCGGGACTGCGAATCATGATAACTTCAGTAGGCCTGATGCTCAGATTCAGTAATCACCACCCAACTCACTCTGGGACTGTCTTCCTCCCCCCAGATCCTGAGTAACTTGGTGATGGAGGACCTCCTGCCAACCCTTCAGACAGACCTTCTGCCCAAAATGAAGGGGAAGAAGAACGAAAGAAAGAGGGCCTGGCTCGGCGTAAGCCATGACTTTGCTATGCGACTGTGCTACTCAAAATGAACGTCCCTTTCCCTTCTTTTTTTAGGGCAGTTTCTTCCTTCCTTCCTTCCTTCCTTCCTTCCTTCCTTCCTTCCTTCCTTCCTTCCTTCCTTC